CAGAATCTTCATTTTGAGCAATTTGAAGTTAATGGTTTACCATTCTTATCTGATTTATTCCGTTACTGTGTTTTCACTTCAGATATTGTATTATGTTATTTTCATAAGTAGCAAGTGTAATTTTCAGGGTATTACTGCTCTTCATCTTATGGCAAGTCACAAATGGAAGTTAAAGTCACACCACTGCCAATGCTTTTCAGTAACTACTATTTGCACAACTTTTTCTTTTCTTCTTTTGAAGATTGTATTTATTTATTTGAGAGAGAGAGCATGAGTAGGGGAAGAGGCAGGAGGAGAGGGATAAGCAGACTCCCCACTGAGTAGATCCCAGGACCCTGAGATCATGATCTGAGCCAAAGGCAAAGCCGCTTAACTGACTGAGCCACCCAGGCACCCAACTTTTTCTTTTCATAGAAAAATGTTCTACATCTTAGTTTTGGGTTTGCCTGAAACCAGTAGACTAATTTCTAGTCTAGTCTAGTTTACTAGTTTCTAGCCTAGTAAACTAGAGCTAGTAGACTTCTTGGGAAGTCTAAGCAAAAATTCTGTTTACTTTAAGTATAGTTTCAACAATAGTAGCAAAACAGAAAGGGTGGATGGGGGTGGGAGTTTGTAGAGAGGTTGAAGAGATTGAAAAAGGACTGCTAGAAGCAGGCCTGCCACCTACTTACAGGAATGACAGTCTAATATTAAAAGGGAAGGAGTGTACTAAAAAGCCAGTATATAAGATAATTTATAATAAAAGCTATTTATTGCCTTTTAATAGAAAACAAGTAAGTCCTATTTGGTGTGTAAATGAGAATATTTTAGTACAATTAGATTTGCAGGATTCTTAAAAAATCTTATTAAAATAAAAGTGTAACATGAATACACCCTACTATGTCAACACACCTAATCATCGTTCATAAAATTTTTCTATAGGGCAGACTTTCCCAAAGTATGTTCCTCTAAAAACTGTAGTGGCCAACCCATTTTGTTTGACTAGCAACTGTGTTTTGTTTGTCTGATCATGGGTCTGCCCTATAGAAAACTGTTATGAATGATGATTAGGTGTTTTTGACATAGTAGGGTGTATTTATGTTACACTTTTATTTTAATGAGATTTTTTAAGAACCCTACAAATCTAACCACTATTTAAAACATGTGGAATAGTGAGTGACCCAATACTTATACACACAGGTTTTTATTCTTTTTTTTAAAGATTTATTTTAGAGAGAGAGAGATCAAGAGCAAGCGAGGATAGGGGCAGAGGGAGAGAAACCCAAGCAGACTCCATACTGAGTGCAGAACCAGACATGGGGGCTTGATCCCAGGACCCTGAGATCATGACCTGAACCGAACTCCAGTCTCGGGTGCTTAACCAACTGAGCCACCTAGGTGCCCCATAGATTTTTATTCTTAAATGTGATGTCCTTCCTAATGATTGGATAACTGAAGTTTATCCCAACAGTTTAATGAAAATTGTGATTGGTGCAGTTTTATATTGCCTACTTTTTTTCTTTACAAAAAGTAATATTTTGAGTAAGATCCTAGGAAGATGAGTTCTATTTTCCACTATTTATGCCTGCAAATCTAAAGTAGTTGGGTTTTTGAGAACCCCAAAATGTTGCTATTAGCAAGAAGTAACCAAATTTAGATTTTCCTCCTTGATCTCTTCCTCCTGGAATCCAAGAATACAAGCTTTTAGGAAAGCTGTATTGCTCCCTGCTACCAGTGAGGGTAGTAATAGGTTAGTTTCCATTGACAATCTAATCAACCTGGTTTGAAGGAAAATTTTGTAACCTTGTTATGTTTTGTTAACTTTTCTGTTTTTAATTTGGTTTTTTTCTTTTTATTTTTTTCTTCTATTCTTTCCTTTTTTTTTACATATTTAGAGAGGATTTCTTAACTTTAATATTGCACAGTATTCATGTTGATTGTCTTTTTTTTTTAGTTTGCCTAGTATGCAGTTTTATTTTTTTTTTAATTAACATATAATGTATTTGTTTCAGGAGTACAGGTCTGTGATTCATCAGTCTTCTACAACACACAGCGCTCACCACAACACATACCCTCCCCAATGTCCATCACCCAGCCACCCTATCCGCCCCCCGCCACCTCCAGCAACCTTCAGTTTGTTTCCTAAGATTAAGAGTCTCTTATGGTTTGTCTCCCTCTCTGGTTTCTTCTTGTTTCATTTTTTCCTCTCTTCCCCTATGATCCTCTGCCTTCTTTCTTAAATTCCACATATCAGTGAGATCATATGATACTTGTCTTTCTCTGATTGACTTATTTTGTTTAGCATAATACCCTCTAGTTCCATCCAGGTCTTTGCAAATGGCAAGATTTCAATTTTTGATGGTTGCATAATATTCCATTGTATATATATACACCACATCTTCTTTATTCATTCATCTGTCAATGGACATCTGGGCTCTTTCCATAGTTTGGCTGTTGTGGACATTGCTGCTATAAACATTAGGGTGCAGGTGCCCCTTTGGTTCACTACATTTGTATCTTTGGGGTAAATACCCAGTAGTGCAATTGCTGGGTCGTAGACATGTTGATTGTACTTTTAAACAAAGCACTTTAATCTTAACATTTTTTTTGTCTTAAACTCTATGGGACTCACTTATCTTTAAAACCATTGTTAGAGTAATTGATAGATTCTTTTCATTGGACACATTGTCTAAGACAACTGAAATATAGAGTCCAGTGTCATTACAGACACATTACAGAATAGTGTTTCATCTCTTACACAGCTATTCACAATAAAGATAGAATTATGTGCTATAATAGTCTAGGAAACACATTCAGAAGATACAAGGAAAGTTTTATTTTAAAATATATACAAATTAAATTGTATATATATATATGACAAAATTGATAAGTGTATAAAATAGTAATTTTTTCTTTCATGAAACAACTTAGGCACCCCATGTTTTGAGGTAAATCTTAATAAATCGAAAGGCTAAAAGATAATGTATCATGGCTTTTTATGGGTAAGTCACTGCTAAGGTTAGCTACTGTTAATAAAAGAATGTAATAGCCCTTGGAATATGAGGACAGAAAAAAGATGGCAGCAGTATTTCAAACACAACAAAACAAAAAAATAAAATAATGGTTCTAAAAAAGTAAACATAATTATTTTTTTTTATCCCTAAGATTGCTACAACTGTGTGAAACCCTTCAAGTCCCTCCCAAAAAGCTGAAAGATTTAACTAACGTGTCAAGTCTACTGAAAATGGAAAGGGCACAGCACAGAGCTAATGAAGAAGGTCTGGCATTATTGCAGGTATGAAATTTGAACAGGGAGTCCATTAGAGAGTTAGGAGAAAGGGGAAGAGAATAAGAAATTTTTTAAATTATCATGATAGTCTCTGAATAATAAATACTAGATTTTAGGACAGGGTTTTCATTAAATTCTTTTTTTTTTTTTTGTCAGAGTAAAAACTTTACCTAACTTTGAGCCTCTAAAGTTAAAAGTATTTCTAATATATTAGTGATTACGTAGCAGTTCTGTTTTTTTTTCTCCTGACTTTAACTGGACTACTATTCTTGATTATCAAATTATAGGAACTCATCACTAAATGCTAAAGAATTTCAAAACATATTGACAAGAAGAGCATATACTCATTATTATTGTTTTTATTATCATATGACTAACATGTAACGAGGGCTTTCTGTGTTCTAGGCATTGCTCTAGGCACTTGGAGCGACATCCCTTAATTCTCAAAACAACTTAAAGAGGTCTGTGCTATATGATCTCATTATACAAATGTGAAAAAGAGACATATTTTTAGCTGAACCTTAGACAAATTGCTTAAAGTTATGATGCAGAGCTTAGTCCAACTGCAGATTCTGATTCTTGATCATTATCTTGTATAAAATAATGGGAGATAACATTAGGTATCATGATTAACTTCAGGCTTTTAATTAGTGGATACTTGAACAGTTAGGAGAAACAAATTTACAGGGCTTATTAAGTAGTTATTAAAACCAAACTAGATTAGACCATGTATCCCTTAGCCATTTCAAAGTAGTTTGCAGATAATGGTCCTTAAGTCTTTGTTAGCAATTTAGAAAATATAGAGTTGGTAGTGGTTTATGCAAGGAATACATCCCCAAGGATTTCTAATAATTCAAAAATAACGATTTTTTCCAGTTTTTCCATATGATTGAGAATAACATTGGGTGGATTAGACTCTGAGCAACAAATTTACATATATTATAAATTAATTGCATATATTATAATTTATGTATATTATAAATTAATAAATTACATATATGATAAATAGAAACTCACTTTCTTCCTAGTGTGAGATTATATTGAATTTTTATCCCCGTTACTACTTTTCAAGAGTATATTTTCAGCACTGACACTAGTTCCACCATGTAATGAACAGTTGGATGTCATTGACATAGGTTTTTTTTTTTAATTTCAGCTTTATTGGGCTATAATTATAAGATATTCGAAGTGTACATTGTAGTAATTTGATATATGTACACATTGTGAAGGATTCCCTCATCTGGTAAATTAACGCATCCATCACCTCACATTATTTATTTTTTATTTTGTGTGTGTTAAGAACATTTAAGTTCTCTCTCAGCAAATTTTAAGTATACGATACAGTGTTACCAGTTATAATCACCTTGTTTTTCACATTAGATCATCACACCTTATTCATCTGATAGCTGAAAATTTGTACCTTTTACTAACCTCTCCCTATTTTCTCCACTCCCCAGCCCCTGGTAACCACTTCCTTACTCTTTTTTTGTGAATTTGGCTTTTTTTTTTTTTAGGTGATTTTAAAAGGTTTTAAAGTGTGATAATGGCAAAGTTATCTTAATACTTAATACTCATGTAAATCACTTGAAAGTGGTCAAAGATAGTAAATGATAGTGTGATTTTTGTAATACTAAGGGGCATTTCTGTATTCCAGCAAAAAGCATAAATATAGTTAAGTGAAAAAAACCTTTTTCTATCCTCAACACTTCTGACACCAAATGTGTGGGTTTTCCACGAAGCACTTTTCCAGTTCTCTGCAGACACCAGCTAGGTGTCCTACAATGTCATCCAATTCTGACACTAACTACCTGGATTTAGTGCAGACCCCATAGGTTAAGGGCTCAGTCCCACAAGACTGCCCCCCACTCCAGATGCCAGTTGTACTTGTACACCTCCTGTACTTCTAACCAACCAAGTATAAATCAGGTGTTGCCATGACCCCTTCCTCATGTTCAGTAATTTGCTAGAACAACTCACAGAATTCAGGAAGGCACTTTACTTACTATTTACCAGTTTTTTATAAAGGATACATTCAAGAACAGCCAAATGGAAGAGATACATAGGGCAGGGTATAGGGGAAGGGCACAGAGCTTCTGTGCCTCTTCAAGTATGTTGTCCTACCAGCACCCCAAGGTGTTCCACTAACCTGGAAGCTCTCTGAACCCAGTGTTGAGAATTTTTATGAAAGCTTCATCACGTAGGCAGAATTGATTATTAACTAAATCTCCCATTCTCAAGAGATCAAGGAGTGGGGCTGAAAGTTCCAACCCTGTAATCACGTGGTTGATTGCTCTGGCAACCAGCCCTCATCCTCTCTGAATCATTCATTAGCATAAACTCAGGTAAGGTTGAAAGAGGCTTATTTTTTTTTTTTAAGATTTTATTTATTTATTTGACAGAGAGATAACAAGCAGTGGGAGCAGCAGGGAGAGGGAAAAGCAGGCTCCCTGCTGACAAGGAGCCCAACATGGGGCTTGATACCAGGACCCCGAGATCATGACCCATGCTGAAGGCAGACACTCAACTGACTGAGCCACTCAGGTGCCCCAGAAAGAGGCTTATTATGAATAGCAAAACATGCCACTGTCACCCAAATCACTCAACGAATTACAAGGATTTTGGAAGCTCTGTGCCAGAAACCAGGGATGAAGACCAAATACACATTTCTTATATCACAGCATTGCAACTGTCTATGGTTTGCTTGCTTGACAGCCAGTTACTCAACGGAAGCACTGTTTGCATTTTGGGCATAAGAGTTCTTCACTGGCCTACTAGAATCTTTGAACTAGGAGTTTGTATGTCTTGTCTGTATCCATCAGTTTTCTGTTATGTGCCTTACTTAGAACCACTGCCTTTTCCCACAGTAGCCTAGAGTTATTCTTGGTGGTGACTTTTCAAAACCTGTATCAGCTAATAAGTAACAGAAGTTGTATTCATTGAGCTCCCTCAGTGATGGTGCTACAGAAGAGGCAGTGGTGAGCAAAGTCTCTGAGACTGAGAAGATGGTATAGGAACTGCTGGGGCTTAATTTTTTAATCCCTATGGACCTCTGCATAAGAACAGAGCCATAGGATTTCACAACCAGAGTTAGCATAAGAAAATATAAAAATAAGGACAAAAAATAGCAATCCACAGATAACAAAAGCATGCCAAAAACGTGTTCACAAAACAGATGAACACTAACCTAATTCTTAAGCAAACTGAAAGAAATTCAGAAAAACAGTAGAGGGTATGGAAAAAATCATAAATCGGTATTAGAAATACTAAAAACTGAAGCTACAGAATTCAGGAAGAAATTAGAAGTAAAAGAAAAAACTTTTCAGATATGCAGACTAAATTAGAAGAATTAAAGCAAATGCAACAGATAAATGCTTAAAATAAATAGTAAAATAAAGGAGAAAATTTTAAGAATCAAAAAGAAACATTTTTTTAAAGTTGAGAAAAAGTGACAAAGTAAAAGCTCAGCATAGAAAATATGGCATAGGTATGGTAGGAATACCCAAAGAAGATAACCAAATCAATGGACCAAAATAATTTTCTTTAACTACAATGGAAATTTTTAGTCCTTATTATATTAAATGTTTTCTTTATTCATTGTTGTTATTCATTCCCTCTATAGTGGGTTGATAGGGGCCCCAAAAATGATATGCCCAAGTCCTAGCCCCGGAACCTGCAAATGTGCCCTTATTTGGAAAGAGAGTCTTCCCAGATATAATTAAGGTCTCAAGATGAGATCATCCTGGATTATCTTGGGTGGTCCTAAATACAAAGACTAGTGTCCTTAAAGAGATGAAAATGTCCTTAATAAGAGAAGGAGACATGGAGGAAAACGCTGTGTGAAAAATGCAGAAATTGGAGTGAGCAGCCACAAGGTATGCTGACAGCCATCAGAAGCTGGAAGAGGCAAGAGAGGATTCTCCCTCAGAGGTTTCAGAGGGAGCACTGCCTTGCCAACACCTTGCTTTGGACATTTGCTCTCCAGAACTGTGAGAGAATAAATTTCTGTTTTCAGATACCAGTGTGTGGCAGTTTGTTTTGGCAGGCACAGTAAACTAATACATGTGGTAACACATATTTGTATTGGACAGCACTCTCTAAATCCAAAAACCAAGTCACAGGAAGTTCAGGGCCGAGGAACAGGTTAAACCTGACTGGCAAATTCTGCAAAGCAAACTATCTAGTTTCCCGTACAAATCAGTTGGAAAGAACCAAAAAAATTGGAGTGGAAAACTGTAGATGAAAGGAGACTTAATATGCACTTACCAGAATGGCCAAAATCTAGAACATGGACAACAACAAATGCAGATGAGGATGTGGAACAACAAGAACTCTCACAGCTGGTGGGAATGCTAAATGGTACAACCGGTTTAGAATACAGTTTGGCAGTGTCTTACAAAATGAAACCTACTCTTACCACACGATACAGCAATCATGCTCCTTGGTATATTATACGTGGATGTTTGAATATTGCACATGGATGTTTGTGGCAGCTTTATTCATAATCGCCAAAAGTTGGAATACCAAAATGTCCTTCATTAGGTGAATGGATAAATAAATGTGGTACCTCAGACAATGGAATATGATTCACCACTAAAAAGAAATGAGCTATCGGGCCCTTAAGAGACATGGAGGAACCTTAAGTGCATATTATAAATCATAAGTGGAAGAAGCCAAACTGAAAAGGCCCCATACTGTATGATTGCAACTATATGATAAGCTAGAAAAGACAGAACTGGGGAATAAAAAGATGAGCGGTAGCCAGGGGTGTGTAGTGATTTAGAGATGGATAGACAAAGCACAGCAGATTTTTAGGCCATCAGTCCTTGGGCTCTGCTACATTCACACGGGTCTTCCAGGATCTCTGATTGTAGCAGTATTGCTGAGCTTTTGAGGAAATATTCTTGTACATGGGTTGTATCTCCTTGTTCCATGGAAATTAAATTTCCTTATAATGAATTATTATGTTGGTAAATTAGTTTCTCGGAAGTCTGTTTTGCGAAAGAAAAAAAAATTACCAGTTTCTTCTAAAAATGTTTCAATATATGTGGTGTTTAAAAAATATGCATATGTATATTAATACCTATTTGGGTTTCATTTAATAATGTATTTAGTTTAAAACATTAACTTTCTGATTTCTCACTCAGGAAGAAATAGATAAAATAGTAGAGACCATAGAGTCAATGACTGGTAATATTCAGAGCCTAAAGAACAAAATTCAAGTTCTGACAAGTGAGGTGGAAGAAGAAGAGGAGAAAGTAAAACAGGTAATTGTTTAATAATGCATTCCTAGAGTCTGGATAAATTTTTTAATGCTTGTCTCTCAGCAAGACAACTTTTGAATGTAAGAAGAGAGAAATCAGCCTTTTGAAATAATCTGTAGCTTTCTTTTTCTACTTTAGATGTTTCACATAGATAGTAGTGGGGTACTCTGTCTTCCAGAACTTTCTCAGAAGAGTCTCAAAGCACCCACACTTCAGGTAAATGCCAATTTGCCATATCAACTATATCATCAGTTATGAAGCACATATATAAAACCATAATATCCTTTTCCTCTTTTAAAACAAATGAAATTCATGATACAAGATTTTAGGCAACATTGTTTTTCTCACTTGACAGAATAGTTCGAACATCTTTATTTGTGAGCTTCTTTCGTGTGGATCTCTCATTCTTGTCAATAACTATAACATTCCATTGATGAAGGTACCATACTATAATTCGTGAATTACTGGTAGAAATAAATGATTGTTGCAGTTACATATAATGCTCCATATACCCTTGTATATATGCCTTTAGGTATTTGTGTGGTTGTAACTGTAGGATAGATTTCTGGAAGTAAATTCCAATAGTTGAGTTTATTTGTGCTTCTAACAGTGGCCTATAACTCTTCATGACGTAATGTTGTGTTATTTGTAGTTGACTGTATACTGGTATCTGTTTTCATAGGTTCCCAGTAGCTATTATAGTGTAAATGCTTACAGTGGTAGAAAGTCTTCAAGTTTCTCAAAAATAATTTAAAATAGTCCTATCTGTAATCCATTTAGGGTAAAAGGAAAGGGAATGGACAGAGGTAAAACAGAATAATACAGTTTGGAAAGAACAAGAATGAGTTGATGATTACTGAAGTTGGGTGATGGGTATTTGAGGTTTATTGTACCATTCTCTCTAAATAACATACATTTGACATTTCTCATAATAAAAGGTTAAGAACTATTTATATGGTTAAATGTGGTCAAAAGGTACAAACTTGCAGTTATAAAATCAAATAGTCTTGGGGATGTAATGTAGAACACAGTGACTGTAGTCAATGACACTGTCTTGTATATTGCAAAGTTGTTAAGAGAGTAAATCTTAAAAGTTCGCATCACAAGAAGAATTTGTAACTATGTGTGGTGCTAGATGTTAACTAGACTTAATTGTGGTGGTCATTTTGCAGTATACACAAATATCACATCATTGTGTTGTATACTTGAAGCTAATATATTATGATGTTATATGTCAATTATATCTCAGTTTTTAAAAAAATTTTAAACTAATTGTACTGTTATACCCACAGAAAGAAATTTTGACATTAATTCCAAACCATAACGCTCTTCTGAAGGACTTGGATGTTCTCCATAATTCATCCCAGATGAGGAATATGTTAACTTTCATCGAAGAAGCCTATAAGAGACTGGATGCCTCTTAAAGAGTTTTTTTAGACTGTTCTGTGTTAATTTAATGTTTATGAGTTTGTAAAACTGTTAGCCGATGATGATACTGCAGAGGCCGAGGCTTCTTCAGGTTTTATTTCCAACATATACTTAAAATTAGCTTCTGTAGATCTATTAGCATCTAATATAGTCCTAAAAACTGTTTTTAGTAGTTGCCAAATCTAGGAACTCACATTTCTGTTGCTGTGTCTCTGGTTGTTTGAACCACAGTCTAATGATTTATAATGGCTGAATAGAGTTCATTTATTGGTTAGTGCAGAGGAACTGTGATACTGTAATGTAATATATGTGAAGTGTGTATAGTGCCTGGTACATAAAACATAATTGTTTGCAATCGTTATTATTCTTTAGTTCATGACTTGCATTTTCATCTAGTCATCTGGAACTTGAGAAATCCCCAAATACCTTTATTTCTTTTACATAACCCTCTAGACTTTTTGTGACATAATTAAGATTTGCCAGGTGTCTTTACCTTTGGAGGTAGCATGAACATTTTATTTCTTTGGTTGGATTATTGACTAGATGTTCAATATTTTCCACTGTCATCAAAGCATACTTTTATTTAAAAGGAACCTAAGCGCATTTATTCCCTTAAAAGAAAAATCAAACAAACAAAAAAAACCCTTTCTATAAACCTTTTCTCACTGTAATAATGTTAGGAGTTAGTTGGACAGTTAGGTAGTCAGGGCCAGGGTCCTCAACAAGAAAACATGGAGTCAGGACAGCTAAGACAAAACAGTACTAACATCCTGTTTTGCAGCTTAGACAAGACTGCACTAGCATTTTGTTTTGTAGCCTTCGTAGAAATGATTCTGCAAAATGTCCTAATGCTCTTGTTAAATCAAACCCTCTCCAAGGCTGAGAAACATGGGGTCCTGGCCACCACTGAAAAATATGGGGACGAACAGTAACTTCATTACCAGGGCATGGGTGAGCCCTTGGGTGGTTTCCAGTTCCCAACTAGAGCCCAAGCTGTCCCTCCCCAAGACCCCAGTTGGGACCCTAATGATCCCCTCAGAAACTGGTACCTCAGTCGCTTCCAGGCTTGCGTCCTAGAGGGATTAAAAAGGTCAAATGTTAAGCCCCTGAATTATGCGAAGTTGCCTACTGTCACCCAAACTCAAGAGGAAAACCCAACAGCCTTCTTAGGTTGAGAGAGGCTCTCATTAAATACAGCTAACTCCCCCAGTTCTCCCGAGGCCGAGATCATTCTCAAAGACAAATCTGTGAACCAGTCAGCCCCAAATACTCGAAAAAAGTTGGCAGTTGGCCCAAGGGGCCCCTAGAAGAGCTCTTACGAGCTGCTAACTGGGTCTTTTACAATGGGACCAAGAGGAGAGTAAGGAACAAGAACAGAGACTAAGAAGTCCGAGGCCCTAGTTTCTTCCTTATATACTGTTACCAACTCAGCCCTACAAGGCGCTGATACCAAATGCCACTTCTGTGGCCGCCCGGGGCACTGGGAGCAATGCCCTCAGGCAAAAATCAAAGCCCTGCAACCCCTGTCCTACATGTGGAGGAGGACACTGGGAATCTGAATGCCCTTGAGATCCAATCTCCAAGGGCTCAGACAACCAGCACCCCAGACAGGGACTGATGGGACCCGGGGCTCTTCACGGTGGCTCCCCCAGAACACTTTGCCATTGGGAACCCAGAGCCTCAGGTAATTCTGGAGATAGAAGCAAAGCCAGTCAATTTCCTTCCTGATACTGGAGACACCTTTCCTGTTCTACTCTCCACCCCGGGCCAACGGTCTAACCACAATGTTGTTAAGGGCATCACTGGACAACCCACAACCAGATTTTCTCACCCACTGGGATGCACTAGGGAGATCTAATTTTCTCTCACTCCTTCTTAATAATGCCTGAGAGCCCCACACATGATAACTCTATAGAGATAATATGTCCAATCTGGGAATTCTCATATTGATAGCCCCTGGACAGACTGGCAGTTGCCTCCCCTTAATAGAGGCTTATATTTATCCCCAGGTCTGGGCAACTCAGGGAGAAGTGGGTCAAGGCTTAACTGCAGCATTTGTCGACATACACCTTAAAGACCCCACAACTTTTCCCTTGTTGGAAGCAATACCCTGTAAACCAGAATCAAGGGAGGGCCTAATAAAAATCATAAATAATCTAAAGCAGCGGGGGCTCTTAATGCATCAGCCCATGTAACACCCCAATTTTGGGAGTAGAGAAACCTAATAAGGGGGCACCTGGGTGGCTCAGTTGGTTGAGTATCTGCCTTAGGTTCTCGGGTCACGATCCCAGAGTTCTGGGATTGACCCTCTCATGGGCTCCCCCACTCAGTGGGGAATCTGCTTCTCCCTCTGCCCATCCCCCTGCTCATGCTCTCAAATAAAATCTTTAAACAAAAGAAAGAAGGGAGGGAGGAAGAAAGAAAAAGAAAAGGAAAGAAAGGAAAAAAGAAACCTGTGGTTCCAAACCCTTATGCCCTATTGGCTCAAGTCCCCTCAGACAAACAATTTTAGACTTAAAAGATGCCTTGTTTTGCATTCCGCTTCATTCAGATTCTGGGTTTCTGTTTGCATTTGAAAACCCCACTAATCTGACCACCCAATTAACATGGACAGTTTTACCCGAGGGATTCCGAGATAGTCCCCATTTATTTGGAGAAGCCCTGTCCCAAGATCTCTCAGATTTTTCAGCTGAAAACTGCGTCCTTCCACAATATGTGGATGATCTATTACGTGCCTCCTCTGAGCAAAGCATTCAAACTGGCACCTAGAAACTTCTCAACTTCCTGGATATAAGAGGATATAAGGTTTCTCAGCCCAAGGCTCAATTACGCAAGACATCTGACAACTATCTGGGCTTGGTCCTCACAAAGGGGACAAGGAGACTGGGAGAAGATAGGGTTCGGCCTATTACCACCTACCCTCTCCCTAAAACCCTAAAACAATTAAAGGGTTTTGGGGGCATAACTGGGTACTGTCGCTTGTGGATACCAGGGTATGGAGAAATAGCACACCCTTTCTATCGATTGATCAGGGATACCCAGACAGCCGGTACCCACCTATTAATGTGGAACCCAGAGTCAGAAAAAGCTTTTAAACACCTCAAGGGGGCCTTGCTCAGTGCCCCAGCTTTAAGTCTTCTTATCAGGAGGGCTAACAACTTGTATGTGACAAAAAGAAAGGGAATGGCCTTGGGTATCCTAACCCAGGCAGTGGTGGCAGCGCCCTTTTGGAACAGGATCTTACCATACACACCCCCATAAAATTCAAGGTCTCCTGTCAACCGATGGCAGTCACTGGCTCACAGACAGCTGCCTCCTTTGGTACCAGGAAATATTGGAGGGTCCAGTCATGCAAATAAAAACCTACCAACCTACCAGGGACCCTCAGACCTCTGGGGATGGTACCCTGGCAGCGCCCCTGACTAGCAAGAAACAGGTAGGTCATCACCCCCTTTCCCTAACGGCAGTTAGGGTCACTTCTTCAGAGGGGGAAATGTTAGGAGTTAGTTGGACAGTTAGGTAGTCTGTGCCAGGGTCCCCAACAAGAAAACATGGAGTCAGGACAGCTAAGACAAAACAATACTAACATCCTGTTTTGAAACTTAGACAAGACTACACTAGCATTTTGTTTTGCAGCCTTTGCAGAAATGACTTCTGCAAAACATCCTAAAATGAAATAATTAACCACAAAGCATTTGTCACTATCACAAGCTGGGGCGGTTAAGACATAAGTCCCCACATGTCAGCCCAGAAAGACCATCAGCCCGTCGTGATCAAAGCCCTGATTAGCACGTCTAAGTACACCCTGGTTGCTTAAGATAGTTCCGCAAAAGAGCTCATTAAAAACCCCTAGACTTAGAAACTCCAATTCAACCCTCTGGGGCCCCTCTCTCTTTGGGAGCTTTGTACTATATCGCTCAATAAACTTTGCTTTGCTGCCCACCACTCTTCATCTGGTCTACCTCTTAATTCTTCAAAGCAGCGTGACCAAGAACCATGGGCACTAAAGGAAAAATCCTGAAACAATAAGTATATACATGTGAATAAATTACCACTTAAATATATTAAAAATCTTTTCTAGTCACTATAGTATATTATTTGGTTTGCTTTTATTTATTTGCAAAATAAAATAACTGCAATTTCTAATTATTTTTCTTTCTAGCCTAGAATATCTTGTCAGTTATGGTAGAAGGTACCATAATTCTGTTGATACCCTCCAGGCAGAAACCACCAAGAACACAGCTTTAGTTAAACAAGTTCAGTGTAATGCTCATTGCAGTGAGGGAGACCACATTATCATGTGGAACCCTGGAGAGCTTAGTAAAAGGGTCAGAAGCAATATCCTCTTAGGAAATAATAGTTAAGGAGAACATTAATGGATTTTAGAGGAAACGTCTTAAGAAAGGAAACTAGTAGTGCAGCATTTAAAGAAAATATTTTTGTGTACTTTGTACTGCCTGCTATATGCCAGGCAAAGCAAATAAAAATAAAAGATAATACAAAATCTCTATAAAACCCCTCACTTGGAAACTTAGAACTTCTTGTTTTTAGAGTGATGAATAGGGGCGCCTGGGTGGCTCAGTTGGTTAAGCCTTCTGCTCGGGCCATGATCCTGGGGTCCTGGGATTGAGTCCCACTTCGGGCTCCTTGCTCAGCAGGGAGCCTGCTTCTCCCTCTGCCTGCCACTCCCCCTGCTTGTGCTCTCTTCTCTCTGTGACAAATAAAATCTTAAAAAGAGGGGCACCTGGGTGGCTCAGTCAGTTAAGTGGCTGCCTCCAGCTCAGGTCATGATCCTGGGGTCCTAGGATCAAGACCCACTTCGGGCTCTCTGCTCAGCGGGGAGCCTGCTTCTCCCTCTCCCTCTGCCTGCTGCTCTGCCTACTTGTGCTCTCTCTCTGTCAAAAATAAATGAAACCTTTTTTAAAAAAAGTAGAGTGATGAATAGAGCCCCAACTCACTGATTTTTTTCATTAGTCATGATGTTTATAAGAGCTTTTGATGGGGAGGGAGGAGTTAGATGAAAGTCTGTTGTTTCTCTCAGAACATCTACTCAACAGTTATTGTTCAGTGGGAATTTTTACTCTCCACTTTTGCTGAGTGATATTCTTCACCATGCATGAACTGGTCATATTACCCTCTTACAGCTTTGAAAACTATGTGATCTAATTTTGAAAGATCTACAGTATCTTCTGGCAGATAGCAGGCAATCCAAAACATACACAATATTTTCTTTAAAGGCTGAATTTTGGTATACCCTTTGTGAAGAATTTAAGAGTTAATTGCAGACCCAAATAAAATTAAAATTCAAGTGCTCGTGATCCCAATAAT